GTAGGGGGTGATGTTGCTGTAGTCGAACGGTGAGACGGACGTGTAGTTCAGTTTTGGGCACGCGTACGGTGCTGCAGGGATTATATATAGGTGTAGTAGTACCTCTTCGGGCTCTTGTACACCTTTTTCTTGCTACGTGTGCGTGTTCTTTAGATCCTCAGATGGCTCCAGCACTTTCGTGACCACGGGCCGAGAGTCTTTGCTAGATTTTGGCATTTAGCAACTGGCATACGGTTTAATGTGAAGTCAACAACAACAACAACAACAACCCTGGGTACTAGGTATCGATCAGTGTGGGTAGAGCTGGGCCGCAGAAAAAAAGGCCAGCCGAAATGCCGAAATGCCCCGCGCGGCAGGTTCGATGACGTCACCAATTGTCCATCGTTTATGAAATGCGGGTATCTACCCGAGGAGGGTTTGGGCACGGTGCTGTGCCCAACGTACCCAGAATATGGGTACAGGTACGGGTCCTGTACCCAACGTACCCAGAGTTTGGGTATGGGTACGGGTACGGGAGTCGTACCCAACGTACCCAAATGTTGGGTACGGGTACGAGAGTTGTACCCAATGTACCCGGGTAACCTGGGTAGATGATGCGTGGGTATGGGTATTTTGGGTATGGGTGCGGGTGTGGTACCCAAATTCTGGGTACGTTGGGTACGACCTCTCGTACCCGTACCCAACGTACCCAGAATTTGGGTACGGGTACGAGAGTCATACCCAACGTACCCAAACGTTGGGTAAGGGTACATACCCGACAAATACTCAAACTGTACCCGTTTTTTTTTCTTTTTCTCCCATCATTGGGCTCTGTCGTCTGCCCCTCTGGCCCCTCCACTTGTACTAGCTAGACGACCCAACCGGGGTCACATAGGAGGGGGGGGCTGGACCCCCTCCTGCGGTTCCCGCCTGATGTATTTTTATCGCGAGAAGGGTGCAGCAATCCCTTCCCTCGCGACTTACGAAGTCGATTATGATTTACTAACAACGAGCTTTGCAGCGCGTCGCTTTCATCCTAGACCAGGATTTATTTAGTGAGAAAAAAACTCACTCTGCCGGGACTCGGACCCATGACCTGGCCCTTAGCAGGCTGCGAGTTTACCCACTAGACCACCGGGGCGACCGGTTTGGGTATTTGTTGTTGTTGTTGTTGTTGTTGTTTTTCTCCCATCATTGGACTCTGTCGTCTGCCCCTGTGGCTCCTATCCTCCACTTCTACCAGCTCGACGACCCAACCGGGGTCACATGGGAGGGGGGGTTGGACCCCCTCCTGCGGTTCCTGCCTGAGATGTTTTTATCGCGAGAAGGGTACAGCAATTCCTTCCCTCGCGACTTATGAAGTCGATCAAGTTTACAAACGACGAGCTTTGCAGCGCGTCGCTTCCAACGGAGACCAGGATTTAGTTAGCGAGAAGAAACTCACTCTGTCGGGACTCGAACCCATGACCTGGCCCTTAGCAGGCTGCGAGGCTACCCACGAGACCATCGGGGCGACCGGTTAGGGTATGTACCTTGCCCAACACACCCTTGCAGGGCACGCAACCTGGGGTGCAACCG